GTTCAAGTTTCAGGGTTTTGGCGCTGAGGGTTTCGGATAGTCTTTGCGATGTCTCGGATTCGGAGTTAGATTTTAGGATAGGGTTTAGGGGTTTAGGGGTTTAGGGTTTAGGGATCAGGGGTTTAGGGGTTTAGGGGTTTTAGGGTTTAGGGTTTAGGGTTTAGGGTTTTGGGGTTTTAGGGTTCTTGTTCTTGCGCAATATCAATGTCTCGCTTCGTGCCTCCTACTGAGTCGCTTAGGGTTTAGGGTTTAGGGTTTCGAGTTTTGGGGTTTGGGTTTAGAGTCTATGACAACCACAGCGATTCCGAGAAGCAGGAAGGCAACAGCCGGAAACGGCAGCCCTTGTCTCCCCTGAAGCTTCCCTGCCCAGGCGCAATGAACACGCGCGGGAAAAGCTTCCCATTGGCCATCCGCCACTCCAAGACCTTCCGCGTGCAGGGCTTACCTAAACTCTACTCTCCCACATAGTTTCCTGTTTTGGCCACCTCTCTGTACTACAAGGTCCCAGCAACTGCATATTTTAGGCCCTGAACCCAGGAAAAAATAACTAGATGAGGCTGTCGGGACGAGGTAGAAGTTAGATGGGTGCACGGCCACTTAGGGACTGGTTGCAAGAGCGACAACGGAACTCTGCCGGCATGCTCATCAAGGTGCTATGCCCTGGGCCAGCCACACCGGAGCACTCCTGGCTCAAAACTTCAAGCCCAAAACTCCGGGTATACTGACGCATGTGCGGGACAACACAGGTACGGAGATATTTGCACATACATGATTGTGTATACTATATAGATATAGGTTTGTTTATGTACTTCCTTTACTTGTCTATTTTGTCAAGTATATGTAGACTCCCGGGAGTCTCTCGCCCGCACAATCGCTGAACAGTAAACCAAACCCCCCGACCCCGAAACTGTAAGCTTGAGTCCCAATCAGAAAAAACCACGACTGATCCGCAAATAGTGGCCGATAACACACTGGGCACGTCAAATTCAGAATGCCGATGAAACCGAAGTTCGAATCATTCTGCGGATATGGAGCAGAAAACGCTCTCATATATATATATATATATATGCCGTAGGCCCAGCCGCTCAGTGACACTGCCTAAGCCGAAACCACTACACACTTCCACACCTTCCACACCTTCACCACCAGGCACCGCATTCGGTAGAAGCCTGGCTGTCACAGGGTTCAAAGTTCAGGGCCGGCGATGCCGTGCTGGAAGTCTGTGAGTATGATCTTAAGCCTCTGTGCATTGCAGCCTAGAGTTAGACCTCAGCACGCTCTATCAGTAGGGGCTATATAGGCTCTTATGCCTGTGAGGGGTAGATATCACAGATTCTGGAGGCTCCTCCAATACAGCCTTTGGGCCCTAAACCCTATAAACCCTAAACCGGATGAATCCGCATCTGCCTTTTGCTAGGTGCCCGGTATGCGTGTGTATATACACATATACATATGTGTGTGTGTGTGTCCGTACATGTATGCAGACACATATGTATATATGTATGATATGAACACACACACATATGTATATGCATATATACATACATAAGCATACATGTGAAAATACAAATATTATATATATATATATATATACATGTGGTATAGACTTTTAAAGATGTACATGTCTGGGGAAGGAACTGAAAGTGAGGGCCCATGTTCTGGTATGAGGCAGGCTTGCAATCAAAGTTGACGATGACTTGCTTTCGCTTGAGAAATGGTAGCAAGACGATCGTTCCTGGGTCATGTATAGATCTTATAGTTCAGACGATCTCTTGTACGGTAGTTCGTAGTAGATGTGCAAACCTACAACCTGAAACATGTTGGAAAACCTCTACGGCTCTACGGGAAAATCTGGAAACCAGGGAAAGGCCTGACGATCAATTGAATTACCGTATTAGCGTATACTAGACACATGCAAGTGTCTACTTTAGCACGTACCTCCCACAGTGTATCAATCTTCGCTGGCGAAGTGTGCTAAACTCACCGGTTGCTGTGCACGAACAAGCTCCACCAATCTGAGAAACCCTACGTGCTAAGCCCTAAACCCGCTAGACATCAACACTATGCCCAAACCCTAGAATCCTTACAAACTTAGAAGGATGCATAAGCCTTCGCAGGAAACTCTCCGATCTTGCAATATCATATACATGAGTATATGGCTGGAGGAGTACTGGTGGTAGTAGTCGCAGTAGCAATTGCAGCAGCAGTTGCAGTAGCAGTAGTAGCAGTAGTAGTAGTAGTAGTAGTAGTAGTTGTATAGTAGTAGTAGTAGTAGTAGTAGTAGTAGTAGCAGTGGTAGTAGTGGTA